GCGGCCTGATGGAACACGCTGGGAAGCTCCTTTATCTCAAGAATAGGGATACAGGACGAATGTCAGAACTGATCAAGGTTTTCGTCTTTGCTCCTGCTGAGAATTTCCTGCTAAATCCCAGGCCAACCGGAGCAAGTAAGGGAGACCTTGTAACCTTCTGTATACACACAAAGTCCTGGCAGTATCTTACTTCTTTTCGGATTTCATTTTTACCAATTAAATTTTTAATCATGAGCTTCACTCAGTCTTTTTATCAGAAAAATGGAATGCACAAGTCATTAACCTTACAAGATCTAAACCAAAAACCAAACTCACTGCTGTCGAATGGGATAAATTAAATGTGTCCATCTCTGAGAAATCTGTTCTTAAAGCATGATAGTGTTACTAGTTGCCACAGGGTCTACCCTGACTCATGGCGACACTGTGCCAGAGTAGAACTGTGCTCCATAGGCTTTTTCAGTGGCTGATTTTTTCAGAAGTGGATTGCCAGGCCTTTCTTTGGAGGTGCTTTTGGGTGCACTTGAACCCCTAGTCTTTTAGTAGCTGGGCCCATTAATTGTTTGCTCTACCCAGAGACTCCATTTTAGTGTTATTTATTATTTATAACCCTCTTGTCTCTGAAAATGCAGGAATCCCTGGCTCATTCTCTCATGTTTGGTCCCCATCCAGTCCCTGCAGGTTCCTAACCTCCTCTCTGTCCATTTTCTGTCTCCAGCCCATTTTCTGCCCTTACTCCCACTGACACTGTTCCAACCTGAGTCACACTGCCCTCTAGTGATTTTCTTTACCATGTCCCTGGCAGGGTCCCTTCATCATCTGGTTCTTTGCACAAGGCATGGGCAGCCAGGAGCCAGGTGCTAGGGTCATGAGAACAGAGCTGATCCTGTGTGCAGGAGATGCAGTGCCTCCTCCCTTTGCCCTCCTGCCCCACCTTGCCTGGGTCAGTCCTCCAGACCATGATCCAGCCCATGAGAGCTGATTTGTATATGCCTCACCCAAGGGACCTAGGAGATGACTCTGACATAGAAGTCTCACCTATGTCACAAGAAATACAGGTTCAGGAGCTCCACATGCTGGAAGCCCACCTGGACTGGACCCTCCCCCAAACCACTTGTAGCTGGGGAATGCCTTACACCAGGAAAGGTCAACCACTTTCTCCTTTCTTGTCCTCCTTCTGCAGGGTTTACCCCCCTACGTCATGCCCAGAAGCTGTGAGCACACTCATAGGCAGCCACTGATAAACAGGGTATCCCTTGTGACCACCCGCCTGCTCCCTGCTTCCCCAAAGCCATTCATTCTGTTCCTGACACAGTCATGTCTTCCTTCTTCTGGGCCACTTTCAAGGCTATCCTGGGGTCAGCGTGGCCTCAGGGACCTCATAGCCATACGCCCACACCTTGACCGACACCAAGCACAGTGATCAGAGCAAAGGCTCCCTCCTCTAACATCCACAGACCCAAAACCTGCCACCCACTGACTCCTTCCCCAGCCCTCCTGGCATGTTAGTCAAGTGCTGAGGGTAGGGGGCAGCCAGGATGGAGCAGGGGCCACAACTATCTCTGAGGAGCCATTACAACACCCAGGCAGTCTGAGTCTGACTTCCCAAGAAAAGCAGCTGTACTGCAACTCCCACTCTTCCCCAAAACAGTCTGACTGGGCTAACCCTGACACACCCTCCCAAGTCACAATATCCGGTTAAGAGGCAACAAGTCAAGAGCAGGAGAAGCCTAGGGCCCCTTCCCAAGGCCAGAGTCTGCATCTGCTCTGAAGATGTTCTCCATGGCCCCTCACATGGCCCTGTTTTTGGAGTAGGAAACTGAGGATCAGGAAGGAGAGAAAAGCTCAAGGTCACAGAGTCAGCCCACAATGTGGGATGGACTTGGCTCAACTCCCAGCCCTTCAAAACCTGCCTTTTCACACATTGCACTATCACTGCATTTCTCATCTCTACACCTGGGCTCCTGCTCAGTCTCTCCATGGAAATGCTTTCTGGTCCCTCAGCATCAGTAGGTGCCCAATAGAATAACTGGCTCTCCTGGCTTTGACCTCTTCAAGAGCATCCCAAAGTGAGCCACTATCCTATCCCAGGGGTGGGTGAGTGTGCTCAGATTAACACTGTGTGTGTGTGTGTGTGTGTGTGTGTGTGTGAACATGTCCTGCTCAGTCCCTCCTCAATAGGAACCTGCCCAGCCTGGCCCTGAGAGTCTCCCATGGTGCCCTCTGTCCTGACCACTGGGCCTCCTCCCAGTGTCCCAGGCTGTAAGCTATGGCATGGCCAAAGTACTGCTCAGTCGTCAGTTCTCAATGCTCAGACTCCTCTCTGCCCTTGTATTCCTGGTAGAACCCCAAACCACCCTTTGCAGCATACAGACCTAGACCTCAGTGCATGCCTCACAGACCCACACACTGACATATATGAGCATAGCATACAGGTGCACATGGACACATGTGCACAGCCACATGTGTACACCCACAGATGCACACATAGAAGCACACACAAAAACAAGGCTTGCGCTCAAGCATGTGCACAGAGGCAGGTAGACTGTAGTGGGACCATGGCTCTCTGCTACCTCCCTGCCACTTGAGTCCCCCTTCTCCTCGCTCCTCTGCTGTCACTGTGAGGTTCCAGGAGTTCCAGTCTCCTCTGGCCATTTCCAGCCAAATATCATATCCAGCACCTACCTAGATCCAGCGATCACAAGGGGGTGTTGGGTTCCAACTTGCGGGCATAGAGTCATGTGACTAAACAACCTTGTGAACCCTGGGCTGCACCTCCTGATTCAGGCCTGTCACGGGCACACAGTAGGTGCTCAAAACAGCTCAGGATCAGCCAGGGCATACAATAGATGTTCAGAGTGGCTCAGAACTGATGTGATCAGAGTAAATGTTCAGAGAGCTGCATGACCAGGACAGAGCACACAGTAGGTACTTAGAGCAGCTCAGGACTGGCATAGGTCACACAGTAGATACCCTAGAAATGCTGATTTAAGGGCAAAAGCCACAGCATATTGAAATCTTCCCAAATGAGCTTCTGAATCTCTCTAACTGGTGTGACCCCTGGAAGGGTCCTGAATGGAAGTGACCCCTTGGGAACCAGCAAAGGGCAGAGCAGGAGAGCCTGAGGCAGCTTCAGCTGGCCTTCTCTTCCCCTGGGCTGGAGGAAGACGCTATTTATAGCTCCCCTTGGCCCAGCCCACTTTCCCCAGCAAGGCAAGTGTTCCCCCTCCTCCTTACCACTGACAGACTGACGTCCCTTCAGAGCACCCCTATAACCAGAGAAATCTCCAATGTCCTAGTGCCCCCTTCACCACCACCCACACTTCACCCAAGTCTCTTCCCAATCCCCCCACCCTCCCCACAGCTCCTCGCCCCTACCCTGCCTGCCACTCCCTGGCTCTGGGTCCAGGAGTTCTGAGTCCATCATGGAGCTGCCTCCTTCCGTGCGTCTGTCCATCCTGTGGGGGATCTGGCCAGACCTGCGGTCCCCTGACTCCAGAGTCAGGGAACCCAGCCTGCCCCGCTGCTGGGAAGACAGTCGTAGGCTGCCCTACAGCCCCGCCTCTCCCAGCCCCGCCCTAGGCCCGCCCCCCCAGGGCTGCTTGGCAGCCTCTTCACAAATGTGGAGGTCAACGTCAGGGCCCCCATCCCAGGCAGCCCCACTCCCTAGGTTTGGCCTCTCTCTTTAGACAGTGCCAACCACACTGCCCAGTGACTGCCCTCATCTCCAGCTGGGGTTGTGTTGTATACACTGCCCACAGTTCCTGCTCTATCCCCAGGCAAGCCTGCCCACACTGGGCAGAAAGTCAGTCCCATCTCCCAGGAGAGTGATCTGTACCGCCCAGCAATGGAGTAGGGGAATAAGAAGTGAGGTGAAATCTATTCCTCTCCAACCAAAGGACCATGATCAGTGAAATGGGCGAGGAGAAGACAATGGGACAGTGTAGCCAGCTATGATTCAGCCTTCATGTGTCACTGCGTACACATGACTATGTGATTCTCATCCATCCCATCCTTTAATCACTTTAATTTATTGAACACTTGCTACATGCCGGAACTTTCATATACACTGTATCACCTAATGTTCACAAGAAGCTTGGTGGCATCACCCTGCCTTCCAGATAAGGAAAGTGAGGCTCAGAAGGGTGAGTACCTCTGCCCAGAACAATTCAGTGGGGAAGGGGTAGAGTTGGGCTGGAGCCCAACAGCCTGAGCTTCTTCTTCCCCGGAGCCGTGTGTCCAAGACCAAGGCTGTGTGTGCAGGGCTACAGGAGGACTGCCTGGCTGTGTGCAGTGAAGGCTTCATGCAGAGGGGACCATCTAGCCCTTGCCTTGCTCACATACACTCAGAGCTTTCAGACACAGCGAGTCGTACCAGAAGTAGCATGCAAAGGCTCAGCCACTCACACACATATTCCCCACAAGGCAAGACTGTCACAGCCTCAGACTTCCCACCTATCGCCATCCTGGGAGATGACCTGGAGATGATACTGATGGCCCCATCCATCTGGGTAGGTGCTACTTCATGGGGCACAAAACTTGTGACCCTCATCAGCACTTCCCTGTGGTGACCTATGATGTAGGGCCCAGACCTACAGGGCTTAGATAGACTGGGTCTGGCTCAGGAGTAGACAGGGTTGGGTGTGACCATATGAAGTGGCCCTCAAATGAATGCAGCATGTCTGTGTTGGGGCTCCGGAAAGTGGTATAGCGGTGGGCATATGTGGCAGTGTCCAGATGCTCTGTGACTGTGGGGCACTCAGACATGGCAAGAGTCCACGTGGCATGGATGTCCAGACATGGTGATGTCCAGGCTGTCCAGACACACTGTAACTGTGCAGTACCCAAGTGTGTTATGACATCACATAGCAGTGATCTCATGTAGTGTACATACAGATGCACTGTGCCCAGCTGTGGTGCCGTCCAGCTCCCCCACTGCTCTCCGACTCTTCTCATCTGTGTGTGGCCGCATCCTTTAGTCCTTGAGACCCCCTCTCTCAGGTTTAGCGGCGGCCAACATGGGCTAGGATGCGGGCGTTAGCAGCGGCCTGCTCCCGGGCAGCCCTGATCCGGGCCTGCTCCAGCAGGATCTGCAGTAGGCCAAGGGGGACATCCAGCGAAAGGGTAATGCTTGGTCTAGCCCAGGGCCTAGGGTTAGAGTGGCCCCAGGCAGCTGAGCGGCCTGTAGTTGTGGCTGGGGGCCTCTCTGAGGTTACAGGGCAGGGAGTGGTCTGGGAACAATTGTGAGAGGAGAGCTGGAAGGCTGAGATAGGGGTCGCTGGGATGACCAGAACCCTGTGCAACATCAGGACCATCAGCACCAGCAGAGCCCACCTGGTCATTGTGTGGTCAGGCTGTGAGGAGAAAACAGGTTCAGGCCAGAGTTCCTCCAGTCAGCTATGAGCCAGAGACAGAGACAGGTAGTGAGAACAGAGAGACGGAGATGGAGTGAATGAGAGGGAGAGGCTGAGAGAGATTAGAGAGGCCACACTGGGGACAAAGAGAGATAAAAATAGAGAGATGAAGAAACAAAAGAGAGAATGTGAGACAGAGGAAATCAAGACAGAGAAGGAGGCCAAAGAGACCCAAAAGAGTGAGAAGAAGAATGAGACAGAAATAAAGAGACAGGGAGATAGAAACACAAAGAGAATGAGAAAGATAAAAACAGAGATCCAGAAAGAGAGAGAGAGAGAAAGGGAGTGAGATGAATATGATGGAAACAGAGGAAAATGGAAAGAGACTAGAGGAAAAAGATAAAGAGACAGAAGCCAGTCCACAGACATGCAATGCCGAAAAATAAAAGAGATTTGAAGAAACAGAAACACAGAGGGACAAAAAGAGTGACTGCGGTTCTGAGCAAGAGCACTTGCGGCAGATCCAGTTCAGAGAAGGTCAGGAACAGGAGTCCGTGAGGCAGAGAAGCAGTCAGAGATCCCAGACTGCCCCCACTCCAGGTTCAGAGACCTCCACTAACCCAACTCCCAGGTCCACTCAACCCCCAAGACCCTGTCCATCCCAACCAGATAGATACCAGTCCTACCTGGACCAGCCTCCTCAGGGGTAAGTTGGGGCCTCTGGGTCTGTCTAGGACTGGGGCCAGGCAATGCTGTCCTGTGGTCTGATCCTCCGCCCTACCTCAGGGCCCATTTATCTCCCTCTGCCCCCTGGGTTGGGAACTGGGCCATGATTCTTGGCATGAGGCAGCCCCCTACCTGTGACTCATCCCCTCTGGGGGGGCAGCCAGAAGCCATCCTCAGTCCTCATCCTGTCTATTCCTTTCTAGGGACAAACTGAGGACTGAAGATCACATCAGTGATCAGAGTTGAGCAGGGGGACTCTGTACCCACATAGGACAATACTGATGCTCCTCCTCCCATAGAAACCCTGCCCCAAAAACATGTCCACACATCTCTTAAAAAAATCACAATAAGGGTCTTTGAAAACAGCAGCTTTAATGACCCCCCAGAATCAGCACCATGTCATCACAGGCTTGGGTTAAAGGGCGGGTCAGACACCAGTCACATCTGCTCACTGCCCACAGCCAACCCCCACAGTGAGTCAGCTGCCAGGGAGGCAGGAGCCACAAAGGGGGTTTGTCCACAGGGGGCAAGGCCAGACCCACGGGGACCACGTCACTGAAATAACGGACACACTCGTACACGCTCATGTGCACACAGGCATCTAGCACCAAGGGGAGGGACCATGGGGTCTTGTCGGGACCCAGACTCCTCCAGGGGACCTTCAGCTCATCGTCTGGGCCTCAGCTCTGGGCAGCATCTGGGTGGGGTGAGTGGGAACTGTTTTCAGTCATCTGATTTTTCCACCCAATAAATATGCCACAGAGACATACAAGGCAAAGGCATCAATGGGGGAGGGAGCTGAGGCCACAACAGGAAGTGGGGACTCTGGTCTCACAGAGGGTCCTCATTCAGGTTCTTAAAGGAGAGACCCTGGAGGGAGACCACACTGGAGACTCCACAGCTGGGCTTCTGTATCCAGTCTCTGATCTGGGGATCTGTCCCAAGTCCCCCAGTCAGAGGGGGTCCAGGGTCTTACCCAGGACCCTGATCTGGGAGCTCCTCACCCAGGAGCTGATCTGGGCAGGCTCAGTGCCCAGTTCCCAAGTGGGGTTGGGGGATGGGTCCATACCTATTGCCTGGCTCTGGACCACCTGGGGTGGGCAGCGGTGCTCACAAGCTTCACGGGTCCCAAAACGATTGGCATTGCCTCCACAGCCACCGTAAACAAACGGGTGACAGGATCCTATGCCACCTGCCACAGCCCGGTGATACCAGCGTAGGGTGTAGGCAGTACAGGAGCCTTCATCCAATGGCAGCGAACAGGGATCTGGGGTCAGTGGAGGTCAGAGGTCAGCAGAGATGGTAGGAAGTAGAATGAGGTCAAAGAGGAACTAGGACCAGTGAGAGGTCCACAGAGATACAATGGAAGCAGAGATGGATGTCTGCCCCTACTCAAACCCCCCTGGGCTCAGGGCCTCCATCCTCACCATCACCTTCCCAGGGAGCCTCAAGGTCCTCGTAGCCCTCCACAGAATACTCAGAGTATTCTGAGAATTCATCATCCTCAGGGGGCAGCTGGTCTGCACACAGAGTGGGATGTGCTGTGAGTGGGGCTGCTGCTGGGCCAGGTCCATGCCACTCAACCCTGGTCCTCAGATCAGGGTAGGCAGCACCCATCTCTCCACATATGGGCAAAAGAGTGTTCATGCATGTGCCCTGCATGTGGACCTGTATACGTGGCATGTGCCCTTCCTGTACACAAGCATCCATGTGTGTGCATGTCTGTGCCCCACCCACACATGCACCATGGGCCCAGCCATCCTCACCTTCCTCCTCTGCATGAGAGAGCCGGAGCACAGGCACACGGTGGAGCTGGGGCCCGGCAGTGTCTGAAGCATAACTAGGGAGGGGCCCTGGAGCAAAGAACAAGGGCCACAGGGCCCTAGGGTCAGCATGGCAACCACCCAGCCAGGTGAAGGGCAGGACAGGGCGTAAGGTGAAGAAAATCTGAAGGGAGGACTCCAGAAAACTACTCACGTGATCCAGATGCAATGAACTGGCCCTGGCAAGCTGGAAGGTGTGGAGAAAGACATTGACAGAGACAAAAGACAGAGAAAGATGGAGAAAACCAGAGGGATGTATATAGACAGAGGGAGGTACAGAGGAAAAGAGAGATAGCAGAATAGAGAAAGAGAGAGAGAGAGGAGTAGAGAGGAAAAGAGAGAGAGTGGGAAGCAGAGAGAAAGAGAAGAAAAAAGACAGTAAGATGAAACAGACAAAGAACAGAGAGATAGATGTTGGAAACAGGCCAACAAATGGCAAGAGAAAGAGTCAGAAACAAGATATGGAGAGGGGGAGAAAGAGACAAGAGCCAGAATCAGAGGTGAGAGGCCCCAACTCTGACCCCTGACCCACCCTGACCCTTAAAACCTTGCTGACCCCTGACCCTGCAACTCATCCTCCAACCTCCCTAATCCAACCTCTGAACCTAGAGAAAATGAAAGCAGTCACAAGTAGAAAGAGACGGAAAGAGAAGACTTCACTCTGATGCCCTTCAGGGCTGTCACCATCCTGCCTGGCTCCATGTTAGGCCCGAGGGACCAGCTTGGCTCCCAGCTCCATCCCTTCCCCTGCCACACCATACCCACACTGGGCATCCAGCAGCCCATGTGTCCCCTTCTCTGTCTGTCTGCCAGTTTGGCCATCTTTGAGGGCCTGTCTGCCTCCATATCTTCTGTCTGTGGGCTCTGTCTTTGTGTTCACTGTCCCCTCTCCAGCAGCATGGGTGCCACCTGTGAGTCTTTCAAATCCATCTCCCCTTGGGTGTCCATCCATTATTGCAGGGTCCAGTAAAGGTCCTATGTGTCCCTCCACACCTGCCTGTGTGTCTCCATTTGAGAAAAGATCTGTCAGCATGTCTGTCCTTACATGTATCCACCTGTATGTCTGTCCAATAGCATGTGCCTGCCTGGGGGTGTCTGTCCAGAGATGAAAACAGTTCCATAATTGCTGTCACAGGAGACTCTGGGCTTGCCCTGCCCCCCACTCACCACAGTGCTGACTCATCTCCTGACGCACAAAGCCTCGAACGTCATCCTCCTGGGGGACAAGACCACATGTAACATGAAGAACCCAAGGATCACAGGAAGAACATGGGGCATACGATGCAGGTATCATAGAGGGAGAACAGCAAGTCAAGGGCCCAGAGACCAGAGATCAGAGCCCTTGCCCACCCAGCCCACACTCACGGTCAGTGCAGCTTCTCCCTTCTCACCACGGGGACCGGCAGGCCCTGGCCGCCCCTATGTATAATAGATGGGAGCAGGCCGTGACCTCTGATTTCAGGAATACCAATTGTCACTCACTCCAATCCCTGACCCCAAGTCCAAGAATCCTCACTGACCTGCTCTCCTCTCTCACCAGGGGTTCCAGGGGCCCCAGGGGCCCCCACCATACTTGGTCCAGGAGGTCCCCGCTCACCCTGTCATATACAAGGATCAAGTGAGCAGGGTCAGAGGCAGTGGAGGTCAGAAGGCAGGGAAGCTGGAGAGCATAGGTTCAGAGGTTGGGTTAGGGAAGGTGGGGGATGAGTTACAGGGTCAGGGATCAGCAAAGTTTTAAGGATCAGGGTGGGTCAGGGGTCAGAGTTGAGGCCTCTCACCTTCTGGCCCTGAAGTCCTTCAGGACCTTTGGGACCAACACTGCCAGGTGGCCCAGGTGGACCACTAGAGCCATCACTGCCCTTGGGTCCTGGGAAACCCCCAATTCCTGGGGGCCCCTGGGGAGAGACAGGACAAGGTAAGTGATCAGAGCACCCAAAGATGGACTCACTCCCAGGAAGCACAGTCCCCTCAACTCAGTATGACCTTGGCTGCAACTCACCCGTTCTCCTTTCTCGCCCTGGTCACCCTTGGGTCCTGGCTGCCCATCAAAGCCTCGGTCACCCTAGGGACAGAAGAAGTATGAAAGACCATCCACCCTGACCTGCCTCAGTATAACCCCTCATGATGCTCAGTGCCCACAACCACAGCTTCCTTAACCCAACCACCTGTGACCCTTCCAGCCCAGTACCCTCAATCTGCCATGATCCCTACCACTTCCGTGTAACACCCACTGCTCTGACTCTACCTGTTTCCCTTAAGCTGACATTCCAATCTCCCCTACACTGACCTCCACCCACTGTGACCCCTTCCCCTGACCTATCTGACTCCACTGCCTCACATTCAATCCTTTAATCCTAAAACTCTATGATTCCTGGCCCTAAGCCCAACCCACCCTGAAACCCCAACACTGCCCCACTCCACCCCTCACTATCTCATCCCTCTACAACCTTCCTTGGCCCCAAACCTCCATGACCTTGCCATTACCTCTACCACACCCCGTCCCATATTTACTATCCAGAGACCCTGTACCTTGGGACCAATCAGGCCCTCCTTTCCGGGGACCCCCAACTGGCCGGGCATACCTGGCTCCCCCTGAAGAAGAGGAGATATGAGCTGGGCCCTGGCTGACAAGCCCCTCCCCCATTCTGGGTGTGTGCCACACTCACCATCTCTCCTTTGCGTCCTGCTAGCCCAGGGCGGCCTGGGGAACCAGATTCTCCCTGCAGGTACCAAGTGGAAGGGTCAGCCTTAGGACCCAGGCCCCGTGGTCCCCCACCCCCAATCACTTCTGTACCTTGTCTCCCTTCTCTCCATCAAGGCCACAGGCACCCTTCACTCCCCGTTCACCCTGAGGGAGAAAAGCAGGTGAAAAAACAACTATGATACCTTGATCCTGAACCCAAATCTCCAAAGTGGCCCCAGACACTCCAACCTCACATTCAACCCTGAATACCCCAACAGCTGACCCCAGATCCCTGACTCCAGATATCTCACCTTCCAACATCAGGCACTCTAACAACAATGAAATCCATTTCTCTTCTCACCTTGAAGCCCCGGGGACCCATGAAGCCGACATCTCCTTTTTCTCCTCGGACACCAGGGGCCCCATCCTTCCCTGGGGGTCCCTGAGGGAAAAGGAGTCAATGTGAGGCCAGGGAAGGTCAGTGAGGACCAGGAAATCACCCTGGATTTAGTGGGCAGGGGGCAGGAGTTACATTAGAGGCCAGGGCTCCTGGGAGAGCAGGGTTTTCCGTGGAGACAAGAGTCATCATGGGCAGGGGGTTAGCACATGGGTAGAACCATCAAAGACAGTTACTGTAGAGGTGGGATCCCTTGGGCAACATGAGGACACATTAGTGCAGTGGACCACTGTAAGGTCAAAGGCTACCACAAGAGCAGCAACCACCATGGGGACAGAGCCCTGTAGGAACAGAGGGTTAAGAGCAGGAGCATCTTACCGGGTCACCAGGAATCCCTGCAGCACCAGACTCGCCCTGTGGGAAACAGGTCACAAGGGGCTAGGTGTGGTCTTTCAATGTGAGTGTTCCTGTATGCTAGTATATTTGCTGCACATACAGCCTCTGGGTGACTCTGCAGCCAGGGCCCAAGCCACATACAGATCACATGTGAACACACATGTGGACAATAGGGAAGGAGTCTGGAAACTCTCAATGCCCAGAAGAAACCCATGGGATAGGTGTGTGTAACACATAGCTCTGGGACTGTGCCTGAGAAGAAGGCTTGCCTTGGGTCCTGTGAATCCACGTGCTCCCAGTGGCCCCGCCAAGCCCTTATCACCAGGCTCCCCTTTGATGCCCTGTGAAGTAACCAGGAGAGGGATACAGTCAGGATTAGACCAGGCTGAAGGCTGGGAGGCTAGCTAGAACCTGCCAACTGGGGCAGGGCACACCAGTGTTACTACTATGACTGACCTCAGTCCCCACCCTTCCTCCCCATGCCAGTATAGGGTGGGGCTGGAGGCTGCAGCCCATGGAAAGGCTCACATATTGCTCAGAACCCTCAACTCCTTGCCCCCTCCCCATACCACTGGCCACCTAACCCCACTTGGAGTACCCCTAACACTCAAGGAGCCTCCCTCCTATTCCCACAGGACCCCTCATAGAGCCCATACCCACAGAGCTCTCCCCCTAATCTCTTATCAAGACCCTTGATGGAACCCCTGAGACTATAGGCCCTAGCTGCCCTTCAGGTCTGGATTGAACCCACTCCTGTGGCTTCAAGCCAAACAAAAGACAGGCATATCTGCTGAACATTTACATTAGGTAGATATTCTCCCTGAAGAGATCAATCATGGGAGAATAGAAGGGCTGTATATGCACAGGGAGACAGCTCAGGGGGCAGGAGTGCATGGGAGGGAATGACACAGAGGTAAATATGGGGAAGAAGTAGGAGGAGAGCTATTGCATTGTGGGAGATTGCAGTCAATGTCATGAGACAAAGTGTATGTGAGCTGTTGTATAGAAAATGAATTTCCTCTGTAAACTTTCGCCCAAATCACAATAAAAAAATCCTTGAGCCCTCTTTAAAGTCCCTATCCTCATAGCACACCACAGAAATGCTATAGTCTATAGCCCACAGAAGCTCTTTCCCTGTGACTCCCATAAAGCCCCTTTCTTGTCCTCAAAGACCCCTACGAAAGACCCCACAACCCACATGATCTCCCCTCAACCCAAAGCACCCCACCCTTTTCTCCATACCTTCTCTCCAGGGATTCCACTGTCTCCCCGAGGTCCTTTGTCACCATCTATGCCCCGAGGCCCTCGTTCACCCTGGGTCAGGGGTCAGAACTCAGGGTCAGGGGCTGGGGGTCCCTCACTCTTAGGAGGTTTGTGCTCTCAGATCCCCAGGCCTAGCCACACAGGAGCCCCTCCCAAACCCCAGGGAGACCCAGTTTCCACATGGATCAGGCCTACTCACCGTATTCCCCTTTGCACCCTGTGGCCCTGGAGGCCCCACAATCAAGGCTGAGTCACCCTGGGGGACAAGGGGCAGTCAGAGAAATCAGGGGCACCCTTAGCCTCCCACCCCTGCCCTCCCCTATGCCCACACTCACCTTGTCACCCTTTGGCCCTGTGGTTCCAGCGCCACCCTATTGGGTGGAAGAATGTGAGTCCCACCCAAACTGGAAAGCCCTCAGCCCTGAAATAAAAGATCCATTCCCACTCCTGTTTACTCCCTGAGACTCTCTCCCCACATTCTTACCTTCTCCCCACGCTCCCCACGGCTGCCTGATGGCCCCTGTGTATAAGAAGACAACTGTGAGCTAAGGGAATTTGGGGAAACTAGTGGAGAGACAATTCAGGAGGCAGGGGAGACCTGGGGGCTTGTGAGAACTAGGGAGACAGAGGACTAGAGAGTAAACAAGGAGGACAAGGGGTGCTGGGAAAGGACTACAGAGAGTACCCCAGGAAGTAAGGTCAGGGAGGACTAGCAGGATGTAGGGGACAGGCTGCTGAGTGTGCCCTGAGAGCACAGAGGACACAAGCAGGGGACTGGAGTCACACCATGGGGTGCTCTCCCCAAGGGCACCCACCATGAGTCCTCGGGGTCCTTCCTGACCAGGCCGGCCATCTTCACCCTGGATGGTGACATCAGGGTCATCAACTTAGAGATTGGGACTCAGAGGCAAGAACAGTGATAAAAGGACCCCCAATGTGCTCCATGGCAGTGGGTGCAGCCACAGAGTAGGACATACATACCCGGACACCTGGCTCCCCACGCTCGCCTCGGGCTCCCGGTAGCCCTACTCCAGGATCTCCCTGGAGATCAGTAGGATACCAGGATGAGGAAGGGGGTTGGAGAAGAATTGGGGGTCAGTGTGAGGTCATTATGGTCAATGGGGTCATGGAAAGTCAGTGAGGGTCATGGAAAATTAGAGGAGACAGAGAGTTATGATGGAGACAATGGAAATTATGCGGTCAGGGGTTGACAGAGGTCAGCAGAAGTCAGAGGGAGTCAGTAAGGGCATGAGAAAAAGCCAGAAGCATTGTCCCACCTACCTTGTCTCCTTTGAGTCCAGAGGGCCCAGGCACTCCCTGTGGGTCAGAGTAAGTGAGGGGAGGGTCCTGTTGCCCCTCAGAGACCACACGTAGGTACCAAGCTGTGCAGTATGGCAGAGTCCCCAATATAAGCCCTCACTCTTAACACATGGGGAAATCAGACACGTGGGGCCTTAGGGTACTTCTACTCACCGCTGACCCCGGTGGTCCAGGTGGCCCCAAAGGGCCTGGAGCACCTTCTCTCCCTGGGGTACCTGTCAGACCCTACCAGAAAAATTGGAGCAAAAGAGGCAGAAAGTCACCTGGGAACCCTCCTTCTTCAACATCCCCCAATACTGAGAGTTCCCAAGACAAGACCTGGGTCTCTTCCTCCCATTCACCCCCCTGGTTTCAGAAGTCCTAAAGTCAGTCTCAAGTCCCCACATGCTGCTCCCAGCCCCTCACCCGCTCTCCGCTGGGGCCTGGCGGACCCATCTCTCCTCGAAGGCCTGTCTGACCAGGGAATCCGACAACACCAGGAGTGCCAGGGGGCCCAGGGAGGCCCAAGTCTCCCTGAAACAGAGATAGCAAAGAGTGGTGTGGTCCCCGAGGACTCTTCCCCAGGACTGATCCCAGAATCCCCTCTTCCCCCACCTCCAAGGGTCTCTCTGCCCAATGCTCCCACCATTGGGGATGAACTTCGACTAACCTTCATACCCGGAGGACCAGTTGGCCCAGGGGGGCCCTGGATCCCAACTCCTGGGTCACCCTTTGAGGGAAAGAAGGGTCAGATCAGATCTAGGGAGTCTCAAGGCCATGACCCACCAGCAAGAACTCTTTAGAGTACATGTACCTTTTGACCTTTCAGTCCTGGAGCCCCTTTCTGACCCTAAAAAGAAAGTAAACAGCACCTGAGAGGGAAGGAACAATGACCACTGACCTCTGAAATGGCCCAAATATTCCCAGGTGAGCTCAGATGTGATCAGAGACACATGGGAGCCTAGACATGTACCAAGGCTCAGCTCCTAGGAGCTTAGATATAGCCACAGATAATGAGAGTTCAGGCATGACCACAGACGTATGGGACCACAGATGTGAGCGTGGATACACGGGAGCTCAGAGCAGAGCACATAAATGCAGACAGACTCAGACATGTCCACTCTCAGGGATTATAAACATACAGCCCAGCATAGGCCCACAAGAACTCAGATATGTCCTGAGACCCAGGAGGTCAGACAGGAGCACACACATGTGCTCAGACCTGATGAGGAACACAGACCAGGGATTAACATATGGAAGTAAAGATAGGGTCTCAACCCCTGGGACTGTAGAAGCCAAGGATACATGATTCCTATGTGCCTTAAAGGGCAGGGTCCTGAATGCTGGAAGATGCAGCCAGACTGAATGGGTCAGACATATGCACAGGCCCCAGAATGGCCCCTCATGTTCACAATCTCACTCCTCAACCCAGGCTCAGACTGGTTCAGACCCCAGACTCACATCTTCCCCAGGGTCTCCAGGTTCCCCCGCACGGCCAGCGTCTCCCTGCATAGAAAGGATGGTGAGGGGGCCTGACTACCCAGCCTCCCCTCTCTCTGCTCAATGCACAGATCCTGAGACTGGCCCATCTCACCTTCTCCCCGCGTGGCCCTGGCAGTCCTCGGTCACCTTTGGCTCCCTGCAGAAATGCGGGTCAGGAAGCAACATAAGCATCAGGGCCACGGGCAGATAAGACTCAAGGAGGAAGGCATGAGGCCAGGGGTCAGATGTGGGGCAGATTATGGAGCTTAAGGGTCATGAGGGGTGGGTAAGCTATGGGTCAAAGGTCACCTGCTATCAAGGGTTCCATACTCACTGGCTCCCCCACCAAGTCTCCAGCAAGGCTTCCAGGGGCTCCCTGATAAGGGAGAGGCATCAGAGGGCTGGCTCCTAGGCCCCCCCTCCAGGCGTCCCACACATACTCACCTTCTCTCCCTTTGTTCCTGGGGGTCCGACCACCACCTGGGGGAAAATGCCTAGTGAGGTACTCAGCCTTCTCCTGTCTCTCACCCCTACCCTGCTCAGGATGTGTGGTAGTTAAGTTGTCTATCAACTTGGCTGGGCCTGGTTTTGAGTGGCTGGGTAGCTGGATATAGTATTTCCCATGATGAGACTGGTAATCAACTCCATGGTGCAAATCTACTGGAGCTGCTTAGTAGCTGTCTTAGGGATGTCTATTCCAGTATATGAGAAGCAGCATCAAGAAAGGTCTCTGGACCTTCTGGCATGCTTGGACCCTGCATTTGGCCGAGTCTTCATCTCAATGGCATGTCGTCTGCAGATCTTGGGACTGTTTCTAGACTTGAACTAGCAGCCTGCTGTGTTGTTTGATAATCTGGGGACTATGCCATTGTACTTGTCAGCCTTGGGTTTGTCAGCCTCAGCAGCCAGAAGCGGTCTTGAGTTAAGAGAAACCTCCAACTTCAGTTGGGCCAGGAGCAAGAGGCAGAGCTGAAGCCTAAGGTCAAGGGGCCTTCACATAGTCCCTAGAGCTGGCACTGTGAACTTGGACTTTTAACTTCCTAAACCATAAGAAAATAAACTCCTGTTTGTTTAAGCCATCCACTTGTGGTATGTCTGTTAGAGTGGCACTAGAAAACCAAAACAGGATGAAAGATGAAAACTAAAGAGTGGGACAGGGAAGTTGGTGCCAAGTTGAGAGTCAGGGTCAGAGATTACCTGTCCAGGGGCCCCCATGGGTCCAGGCTCTCCTTTGGGTCCAAGAGGGCCGGGCAGGCCTGGTGGCCCCTATGGTAGAGCAGTGTGAAGAACTTGTGTCTTTCCAGTACCGTCCCTACTGCCACGTCCTTTCTCCTCCTCCAGGCATGAAGCTGGGCATAGAGTCCCACAGTGGGCCAGCAGCAAGCTCCCCCAGAACTCACCAGCACACCAGGGGCTCCTCTGTCTCCATCTTTTCCATTGGCACCATCACGACCTGGGGCTCCTGGCTTCCCCGTCTCCCCCTGAATAGAAGGAGCTCTGTTAGGAGCTTGTCTGCTGACCCTTGAACCTTGCAGCCCAGCCACTGGCTATCAGGACTCACCACTTGTCCAGGCAAACCTGGTGCCCCCTGTGGACCCTGAGGAGGAACAAGTCAGATGTAACAGGGGATATGTGGCAAGGAACAAAGGAGAACACAGGAGAACAAGGGACCCAGGGGAGAGGGACATGGTTTTTCTGCAGGGGCCACAGGGGATTCACTTACCACAAGGCCTGAAGGGCCAGGGGGACCGGGCAGTCCCACAGCCCCAGTAGGTCCAGGCAGGCCCTGATGGAAGAAAAAGTTCAGGGAAGCCCCAATCTCACCTGTCTCTCTGTGACCCTAACCCATGAGCTGGGCCACTCACCCGTCCTGGTGGTCCTGTCTCTCCAGGCTCCCCCTGCAAAGGTCCAGAGACTACATGATCCCACAGTTGGACAAGAGGCTCCTCCTGACCAATCCACTCCCAGCCCACATGCACAGGAGGCAGAGACATTGGTGCTCAGCCTCATCTCAAGGCAGTGACACCCCAGGAGGTTGGCGGATGTTGTCCAAGGTGCAATGGAGCTTCCTCCCATCTACATATCTGTATACATCTGCACTTACCTTCAGGCCAGATGGTCCCTGGGGTCCAGCAGGACCAGCGAGACCCTAGAGAAAAGTGTCAAAGACAGAAGACAAGGGTCAGAGTTCTGGGTCTGGGCTCAGGGATTGACATAAACAAGGCCTGGCTCATCAGTGGGGACTGATTCCCATCCCATCCCTCCCTACCCCCACTAGACAGTTTCTCTCTGTTACTCACAGGGGCACCGGGTGGTCCAGGGTCTCCATGGCCACCCTATTGAGGAGAGAAAGACTCTGAAGAAGACTGAAGAGTATGAGAAGAGTCAGTTTCCCACCAGGAAAACTGAGGCAGCACTGCATTGTAGAGACTGAGCATAGGATGCAGTTAGGGAAGGTAGGTGTTCTAGGTTACTCACCGTGGGACCTGGGGCTCCCCTCTCACCCTGCAGGCCCTAGATAGAGAAAGGGGCTGCTGAGTCTCAATCTGGGCCTCAACTGAGCCTGTCCCACTTTGGGACTCTAGGGCCTTTGCCTGGAGAGCTCACTTGCCCCCACCCGTCCCAGGCACTGCCCTGCTGAGATCACAAGGAAGCCGTGGACTTGGGAACACAGAGGCCTGCACACACAGATGGCCCGCCTCTCTCAGACATCACACATCTGCAAACACACAGGCACAGACCACCTCTCACAGATAACCCTCACACAGATGGCAGATGACACACAGCAAAGGGTGGGAGAGGCTTAGGTTCCTGAGGCTGCCATTCCCCGGAGCCTGGGCCAAGCCACCCCTCCCACCACTCACCGGCTTCCCTTCAGGCCCAGCAATGCCCCGCTCTCCTGGTAGACCCTGGAGAGAATAGGTTTAAGGCCACACAGCCCCTGTCCACCAACCCCAGCTTCTCTTCCACCCATCATCCCCCTAGACAGTCTCAGGCAGTGCAGATCCTTCCCTGCACGTGTACGAGCCATGTCCCTGAGCATGTCATGTGTGACCTATGGGGCAAGAACTCACCGGACTGCCAACATGACCCCTCTCTCCAAGCTCTCCTCGGTCTCCCTTGATGCCTGGCATACCCTGCAAGTGAAGTGTCAGGCCTAAGCCCCCAGTTCCTTCCATGTACCTGGGTACACACATACACCACCCCTGATATGACCCTGTGGACGAAGGGAAACATGGTGGGTGGGAAGCCTCACCCTGTCTCCTTTGGGGCCTCGGTCACCATCATTGCCTGGCTCCCCCTATGGAAATGAGATGTCAAGTCAGGCCCTGATGCCATGACATGGGGACCCCTGGGTTGATCCCACACACTGACCTTAGCACCCTTGAGTCCAGGGGGTCCTTGTTTTCCAGAGAGTCCAGGACCTGGCTCATCCACAGCCACCTACAAGCGTGAGGTCATAAAGACATCAAGGGGTCATCACAGATCACAGAACTGCAGAGAGTTCTGGGATCAGAGACACATGGAGGCTTCTAGAGTCAAGTCAAGGTTGGCTTCCTGGTGACAGCAGACACAGACCCAAGACAGGGTTAGGATAATCACCTTAGGGCCAGGGGGACCAGGGGGGCCAGGAAGGCCTGGAGTGCCATCTCTGCCCTGCAGATAAGAAAGAAATGAGGTGGCTGCCCCAGCATAGCCTCCAGATAGCTCCCATGCGACGGAGCCCCACTCCAACTCACCTGTTCTCCACGCTCTCCTTTCTCTCCACGTTCTCCCTGAAATGCGAATAGCAGGGCTTCATTCAGGGAGAGTCCAGTCCCTCCTGACCCCACATTCCCGGCTCTCCCCAGTCCAGCCTCAACTCACCCTCTCTCCTGGCCTTCCTGCTTCCCCTATACTCCCAGCTCGACCTGGAAGTCCAGGAATACCAGGCTTTCCAGGCTCTCCGGCAAGACCAGGAAGCCCAGGGGGACCCCTCTCCCCAAGGGCCAGGCCCGGTGGCCCTGGAGAACCAGGGTCTCCACGATCTCCCTTCAGCCCACGTTCTCCAGGAAAGCCAATGGGGCCCTGCAGGAGCAGAAGAGTAAATGCTGATGGCAATGCAATCACACCTTACATGGGGCACATCCCACTGAATGGCCACCAGTCACCTCCTTGCCCACAAGTCCCCGCTCTCCTGGCTCTCCCTTGGGGCCGCGATGCCGTTCAGGCACTGGTAGGAAGCTGCCAGAGCTCTCATCCCAGGTCTCCACAATCTCCCGCAGAGCAGACACCTGAGAGATGGCAAGGAGTCAGAGGAACAAGGTCCAAAACTGCAACCACCCACCCCTTGGATCCTGTGGGTACCACTTGCCTCATAGGTCCCCCACTTGCCCACACCCTCAGTCCCTAAACAACCTACCTTGATGCCAACAGCATCCAGCGACCGTTCCACATTCTGGGGACACAGACTGGGTGAGAAGCTGCCCACAGAGGAGAAGCCCCTGCCTCTTGCCCCACACCACTCCCAGAAACAGACTGCATGCCATCCTCCTCAGCCTCATGCCCAGACTGCCCTCTACCTCTTGGTTCAGGGCTCAGAACCACTGTAAGCTGGGAGCTCCTCTCTAGCATGTCCCAATTGCCTAGATTTCCCTGGGCATAGGCTACAGGATGCCCAGTGGGGCAGGGGTTGAGCACAGGACAGGACCTGGGGCCTCATGGCAAAGGCAAGGGGATAGAGAGGTGGCCCACGTGAGTATGCATATAAGAGTCAAGAGCCGGGTCCCAAGTTTCTCTTACTGCCATGCTCCCAGGTTCTCCTCTCAGTCCACGCTCCCCAGGGAGGCCCTAGAAAAACCAGGAGACAAGCTACTGGGACCCAACTTGTGGGCCATGTATGTGTGCAATATGGGAACTGTAGCCACCTGGGCAAGTAAAAAAGGTGGGGGCCTCACCTGTTCCCCTTTGGAGCCAGTCTCCCCACGGTCACCCTGAGAATAGAGAATAAACAGTCAGGTAGACAAAATGCCTTCCAACTCTGGTCAGCCCCTTGCCACAGCCTTACCCATCAAATGCACACTAACCTTGGGGCCTGTGTTTCCTGGGATACCAGGAAAACCCTGAGACATGACAGAAGACAGAGGGGTCACAAAGGAATATGACATTCCAGTGGGCCTTGTTGCTCCCAAGTTCCAGAACTACCCTGGATACTCACCTGGCCAGGGGGGCCAACCTGCCCCGGTAGGCCTGGGGGGCCCTGGACTCCAGGGCTCCCAGTAGTACCACGCTCACCCTTGGGGCCATCACGACCCTGTGGAGGATACAGACAGCATCAGGACCCTGAGACTCCAGCAAGAGTGGAGCTACATCTCTTAGAAGTAGAATTAGGGCTCAGAGGGTGCAGGAGAGCTCAGCACTTACGTCTCTCCCAGGAAAACCTGAATCTCCCTTTTCTCCCTAAGGAAGACACGGGTGGTTCAGACATGGCCTCAATCTGAGGTCAGAGCAGACCCCAAGTGGAAGTGCTTTACCTTCCTCCCATCTTCTCCAGGCTCTCCAGCTTCTCCCTGTGGGCAGAGGACTCGCATCAGACCAAACACTCCCCAGTGTCTGGGTACAAGACTCTGACTTGGCAGATCTCAGATAACTATCTGTGCCTGTTGTTCCATGTCTCTGTATGTCTTGGAGTGTGGCCTGTGACTGACTGAGTGAGCTGGTGCACATCTAAGGGTGTGCCAGTGTGAGTCTGTTCACCTCAGCATGTCACTGCACACGGCCTCCAGCCTCTGGGTTTCTAGATAGAACTCCACAACTGCACACTTCTGGGTTTGTGAGTGTCTGTATATGCTGGGTGTGTGTGTGTACAGCTGTGTACACATAGGTCTGTTATCCTGGTGGGCAACTGCGTGTCTCAGTCCATTTGTACATCTTGGCACAGGCTTGTATGTGTATACATGGGATGGACATGTATCTGCATATCCCTGGTGCCTAGAGAGTTGTCTGTGTATGGGGGCATCTGTCTACAAGTCTTCTGCAGACCTCTATGTGTATCACACATGTATGTGGGCATAAATGCATGTGTCGGCATGTCCCAGCATATGTCACATGTCAGAGCCATGGATGTGTATATTGCCATGTCTCACCACAGGTTGATATGTGGCTCTGAATCTGTGTGTTAGCACATATCTACAAGTCTAGGTAGAGATGTCTGAGTGTCAACATGTCACTTGGAAGTGACCCTGAATGGATATTCATACCAATGTATCTGTACATCTCGACCTGTGTCTGTGACTCTTAGCCTGTACCCATGTCTGTGGCATAGCTCAGCTTGTATAGGTCCATTTGGGCACAAGTCCGCATGTCCACCTTACTCATTATGTATGTGTCTGCAAGGCTGCATGTCTGCAAGGCTGCATCTGGAGTGTATTTCAGGACTTATCTATATGTCTGGCTAGGCATGCAGTGTCGGTCCACAGGTCTGGATGTGTGCCTCCTGTGTATCTGCACATTCGGGCTGTGTACATGTGCTGTGTTTCTTGGTGAGTTTCACCGTGGCTGCTCCAGACACTCACGTTTTTCCCATTCAGGCCAGGTTTGCCATCCTCGCCTGGCTTTCCCTAAGGGAACAGATCATAGGTCAGAGGTCAGAGCTAGAGTGAGGGTAGTCATGGGGCAAGAGGTAAGGTGAAAGCCTGGACTCACCAGTGCTCCAGGAGGTCCTGGGGGCCCTGGGGGACCCTGTTCTCCTCGAAGGCCTGGAAGCCCCTGGAAAAAGTGTTTGCTGGGATTGAGAGAGTCACTGAAATGTCCCCTGGGGCATATCCCATGGGTGAGGAGGAATCCATGAGGATACTCCTCCAGTGCAGAGACCCTCAGGATTGGGAAGGTCTCATTGAGATCCCCTGAGGCAGAGATCTCATGGGTTAGGGGCACCCCTGCTGAGACTCTGAAGGGAAGAATCCTCAGAATTTGGGGGTCCCAAGGCAGAGGTCAGAAAAGGAGACCCTACTGTCAGGGACTGAGATCCTTCCCAAGAGCAGGGCTGAGCCAACTCCTCCTACTCTTGCAGATGCCATGACAACGATGACCTGGCTGAGCTGACACCTGGACCCCTCCACCCCAGCATCATCCCTACTTACGTCTCTCCCTGGGTCTCCAGCTTTGCCCGTAGTGCCCTGAGGAGAAACTCAAAGTCAGGGAATTCACTATGACCATGGGGTCAGGGGCACTGCCCACTGATAGGGTCATTAAAAAAAAAAAAAAAAAAAGTTGCCTTTGACTCCTATTCAGGGTGACCTTGTGTGTCCGAGTAGAACTGTGTTCCATAGAGTTTTCAAGGGATGATTTTTTGGAAAAAGATCACCAGGCTTTTCTTCTGATGAGCCTCTGGATGGACTTGAACTGCCAACCTTTCAGTTAGCAGCCAAGTGCATTAACTGTTTGCACCAGTTAACTCCAACAGGGTCACTAACAATTAACCAATTAACACACTGCCATTGAGTCAGGCCTGACTCATAGCGACCCCTCCTTGGGTTTCTGAGGCAGTATCACTAGGGAAATAGATTGCCCAATCTTCCTTTGGAGGAGTGCTGGTTAGCAGTCAAATGCCTTAGGCACTACGCCACCAGAGCTCCCTAACAAGGTCACTAGTTCCTGTGAATCCAAGGCCACTTGACTACATTCCCCAACCAGGCAGGTTCTAGGAGACACATATAACTGATCTGGTCCCAGAGCTCATCAAAGCCAAGAAAATCCAGATGTGGCTGGGTTCTCATGTGAAGGCATAAGGGAAGAGACACAAACAGGCAGTGACCACCATGACTCACTCACATGTAGCCCAGGGGGACCAGAAGCTCCTGGTTTACCATCCAGTCCATTCCGGCCATCCAGCCCAGGAGGGCCTCGGTCCCCCTGAGGAGCAAAAAGTGATGAGGGGCCTCAAAGGGTAAGATGGATATAACAACCCAGGCTCACTTCCCAAAAAGCCTTCACACCCTATCACCTTTTCTCCTGCTGGGCCTCGGACTCCTGGGTCCCCCTGGAAGAAACAAGGCCAGATGAGAGGTGGGGGCCAGCATGGGGACTGTGCAACTGATGAGGCAAAGTGCATTACTCACTTGTGGGCCTGGGAGTCCCCGAAGCCCGTTGGTACCCTGGAGACAGGGGAAGGAAGGAGTTAGAGCAGCTTCCTCAGGCCCACACTACCCCCAGGGCCAGCCACACTCACCCTCTCCCCAGGGGCTCCAGGGGGGCCAGGTTCACCCTTGGGTCCTCGAGGACCCTCCTGTCCACGGTCCCCAGGCTCTCCCTGCAGCAGAGAAAAGCCGGTTGAAGGACCAGCACTGGGCTACAGGGCATGCCCAGGCAGAATCTGTCATAAGGGACACTGGGATCTTTTTCTATAGTCACAGCTTCACTCTACCCACTGACTCTTGTACCTTCTCTCCAGCTCCAAGCCCTGGGTCCACCTGTGAGTGAAATAATCAATGAGAACAATGGTTCAACAGAAGAGGTAGAGTGTGTGTTGTGGGGACAGTGGGGGGCTGCAGGGATCAGTGGAAGGAACGAGGGGACACAGCCTGGAGCCAACAGGGGCAGGCAAGGGAGATGACAGTGCTTGACAGAGAACTAGACCCAGCTCAACCCTTACCAGCCGTCCAGGGGCTCCTGGAGGACCCTGGGAAAGGAAAGGATTATGGTCAACAGGTGCCCGAGGTCCCAGGTCATTGCTCAGTTTTGCCCCCAGGTTCCACTCTGGCCCCATATTCCTTGCAACACCCCAATGCCAAGCCCTAAAAGGCAGGCAAGGCCTAGGGTGGCCATCAGTGTTCTCCATCTTGACCTCAGGCATCTTGTGAGGTGCTAGCCAAGGATGGCAGCAGCATCCGGGAAATTTCCATCCCTCCCAAACCCAGAACCCTTGCACTACTCACTGGTTCCCCACGGTCACCCTTGGGTCCAGAGGGTCCAGGGCTGCCCTGCAGAAAATCAGAAGGTCAGGGTCATTCAGGGTTGGCAGCGGTTTAGGGGAGCTTTGGAAGCACTATTAGGACTATAGGGATCTGGTGGTCTTTTGGGGGTTGAGATGAAGAGGGTCACAGGAAGTGAGGATTGTAAAGGTTTAGCATTGCAGGGTGATGGAATGAAGGATTGGGAATTGGATGGTTGTGGGGTTGATGCTGGGATCAGGGGTCAGAGGGACTCACATTTCGTCCATCCTCTCCAGGATCTCCCTGGTCTCCCTTCTCCCCTGCAGGCCCCCGAGCTCCAGGTATGCCCTGGGAAGAGCAGTTTGTCTGAGACAGACCTTCCCAGTGTTTGGCAGGCTTTCCCATAAGCCCCCATATTGCCCCAGGTTCCTCATCACTCTCAAAATCCATACCAGAGTTTCCCATGACCTCATGCCTCCCTGCAGAGTCACCCATCACTTCCCAAGCCCTCAACACTCTCCCATCACCCACTGTCTCCCTCAGAGCTTCCCATCACCTCTGTGTCCACTTTCTATAGGGTTCCCCATCACCCCCTTTTCTTCTTCCCAACAAGCCTCACCCGAAGGCCACGCTCTCCAGATTTTCCAGGCAAACCTGGGTCACCCTGGTGATGGAGAACGCAAGTGACTTAGAATTAGACTAACTCAGGGAGTAGAGCAAAGAAGAGGCTTACCACAGGCCAGACAGAAGGCAGGAGGATACACTAGATGACCTGGTGAAGCCCCCAGCCCATTGGGATGACAATGAAGGGTAAAGGAACAGAAACCATAGTGGGGAGGACTCTCACCGGGGGGCCCTCTTCACCTTTCTCTCCAACTTCACCCTGTGAGACATGACAGTCAGTTCTGGCCCCAAGACCCCAGTGATGCCAACTACACCCCTACCCCCCCAACCTGAGTTCACTTACATCTCGTCCTCGGGGGCCAACAGGTCCTGGGGGTCCAGGCCGCCCTGGGTCTCCTTTCTCTCCAGGAGGCCCCGAGTCACCCTGTGGAGAAGGCAGTAGTGAGGTGACACAGAACACACACAGCAGCCCTTGGGATCCCAGAAACAAGGTCAATGTACTCACAGAGGGTCCTGCTCGCCCAGTGAGGCCGATGGGACCCTGGAGGGGGTGAGGAAGGGAGACAGGACTTCATTGGGGCTCCCAGGCTCCCACCTCATGCCCCTCTGTCTTGCTTTTACCCCCCACCTTTACTCACCCTGTCTCCAGGATCTCCCTTTGGGCCAGGGTCTCCAGGAAGTACCAACCCAGGTGGTCCCTGTAGACGAAAAGATCAGAAGTCAGGAGCGTGCCCACCTTCACCTGCCCCACTCCTTCAACACTTTCCTGTCACTTACCCGTTCCCCTTTGACTCCAGCAGCTCCTTTAGGTCCAGGGGGCCCCACTTCTCCCTGGAGGTAACAAAGACCATCAGCCCCAGCCCCAGGCTCCAGAGACTCCCATAGCCCAGCAATCACAAGGCAACTAGGCAACCATCATGACTGCTAGAGCAGGACCTGGAGAGACATGTCCTCTGACCTTGACCCCAACACTATAACACTCTCCTATCATCCACACCAGACTAACCTTCTCTCCTTTGGCTCCAGCACCAGGAGGTCCCTGAAAACAAATAGAACAGACACAGCTCGGTCCTGTCTGGGCACCATAGGACCACAGTCTGGTTTGGAATAGGAGTTATATAGAACTGGGAATCACAGAGCTTAATCCCTGCCCAGAGATCACAGGGTCACAGCTGGGAACAGGCAAGGGTTATAGGAAATGGGACTGACACAGAGCTCATGCCCTGTATGGGTTCATGGGGTTGCAGAATCAGAGCAAGGACTAGGGAGATAGGTTATAGCATAAGGACAGTCACAGAGCTCTGAGCCTGCCCAGGGTGTCAGGGTTTTGAGGTCACAGTCTGCAACTGGCTGGCAGGTATGTCATTGTTTAACTGACTGTGCTGTGCTCTAAGTTCCATCCTCTCTTCACCTACCACCACTGCAGGGTCCCCAGGGGGACCAGGCTCTCCCTAAGCAAAGAAGAAAGAGAAAGGGATGAGTCAGAGACCCACCTAGGAACCCAGTGTCCCATCTGCCAAGTTCCTGGCACCAGGGGCACTGGTCCTAACAATGACCCACCTTATCTCCTCGACGGCCAGTGGGTCCTGGTGGCCCCTGCACATGGAAAAAGTGTGAGCCCAGAAAGGTTAGGGTAGAGGAGAAGCATGTGAAAGCCCCACCCTTGGTCGCACCACATTTGCACTCACCTCAGGACCCTCGAGTCCAGGACGCCCTGCAACTCCTGGCAGCCCCTGGGTAAAAGGAACCAAAATGCTGATCCTGGTGAGCGGGGGTGGAGGGCAAAGGGCAAACAAGGGGAGGAGGTTGAGAGTAGGGCTGGAGAAGGGTCACAAAAGGTCAGAATTTAAGTCAGCAGAGGTCAAACTTGGTAGGAGAACAGAGACTGGGTCAGTGGAAGTCAAGGTCAGTTCAGCAGGGTTGGGTGAGCAAGGGCCGGAAGGTTAGAAGTTGGATCTCTGGGATTGAGTGTCAAAAGCTACATCAGAAAGGGTCAGTAGTCATGTAAAGAAGGTGGAAGACCATGGGGGCAGCAAGGATCAAGGACAAGATGTCAGAACCTAAAGGGGACACACGGCCCAGCTCAGTTGACATTGTCATTGGGGTTAATGGGCTCACCTGGGGTCCCACTGGGCCAGGGGGTCCACGTTCACCCTAATGGAACAAAAAGGGGTCAGAGCTGAGTCCAGTCCTGACTCTGCAAGGTCCTGAGAGTCTCTTGGGCTACACTCACCTTTTCTCCAGGCTCACCCGTGTTCCCTGTCAGCCCTCGGTCACCCTGAAGAGAGGTGGGTCACACCATCAAACCCCAGACAAAGTGTCTCAAATTTTGCCCATCCCTTACTCTGAAACTACAAGCTCTGAACTGGAAAGAACTCTCCAAACCCTGATTCTCCAGCCTCCCCAAGCCCAATCCCCTGCAACTGATACTCACTTTGGGGCCAACATCTCCAGGAGGTCCCCGTTGGCCCTGCAAGGGATGAATTTGTTTCATAGATGGGTTTGGGCATAAGGATGAGGTAGGGGGTTCACGGTTGAGGGTGAGGGCTAGAGCTGTGCCCACAGAGCTCAGAATTCTTGGACCCTACACTCACCCGCTGACCTGGGGTCCCAGGTTGTCCTGGGAGGCCTGGGCTTCCATCTTCACAATCACCCTAAAGGAGAAACATGTGAGAGGGAAGATTGAGAGGAGGTCCTGCTCCCTATATCTAGAACACCACAACCCAGAACTGGAACACCAAGTGGTCAGGGCTCCTACCTTCTCTCCTTTCTCTCCAGAGGGGCCAGCTGGGCCTTGAGGTCCAGGGCTTCCAGGAAGGCCCTAGAAGGAAGTGAGTGAAAATGTAAGTCCAGAACTGTGAGACTCAGCATCCAATCATCACCTCAGCACAGCCTCTAGCCCTTCTTCCTACACTGCTGGGCATAGCCCCAGCAGAGCCTAAGGCCCCCTCACCGGCAGCCCTGGCTCCCCTGCAGCAGCACCACCATGACCTGGTCCAGGGGGCCCCTGGAAGAAAATACCAGGTTAGGAGCTAGCAGAGGGATCAGACCCCAAGCTACCCCAACCTACCTTGTCCCACTTACCCGTTCCCCACGATCGCCTTTGTCACCCTGTAAGACAGACCATGACCCCTTGACCTTGGACCACACCTCCCCAAGATACCAGGGTCAAATTAGGTTACAAATTAGGTTACAAGGATCTTAGGTGAACTAAAGAGTCATGAGGGTGTCAAAGGATCAGGTGGGCTCAGAGCAAACAGCAAAGATTGTGTTGGGTTCTAATGGGGTCATCAGGTCACTGGATCACATGGAGATAATAAGGCCATCAGGGGTCATGCTGTCACCTTCAAGGACATCCCAGGAAGCCCTGGGGGACCACGGGGTCCTGGGTCCCCCATTGGGCCACGAGGTCCAGAGGGGCCCTGATGGAGGAGACAAGGTATAAGATACAACCGAAGAGACCGTGCCTAAGGCATTTGACTGCTTACCAGAAGGCTAGCAGTTCAAACCCACCAACCACTCCTCAGAAGGAAGGTTGGGCAATCTCCTTCTGTAATGATATGGCCTCGGAAACCCAAAGAGGGGTCACTATGAGTCAGATATGACTCGATGGCAGTGGGTTTGGTTTTCAGTTTTAATTATCCCCCAAACACAAAACACCCACCCCTACATACCCTGGAACTTACCGAAGGTCCAGGATCTCCTTTCTGTCCAGGAAGCCCTCGGCCCTCGCCTCCAATAACTTGTCCAGGCTCCCCCTACAGGGACAGAGCAGTGGGCAGGATTCAGGACATGGCAGTATTGAGATTGGGTCCTTATCACGACTTAAGCACTACATGGGGTCTGGCCTGGGGCAACCCTTCTTCTTACTAGAACACCCTGGTTCCCCTCCCTTTCCTTTCCACCTACCGGCTCCCCTTTTGGGCCTCGAGGCCCTCGCTCTCCCTGGAGACAAAACAGAGCAGAGAGTGGTGCTTGGGCTTAGGTGAGTTGCAGAGCAGCCCCCCTGTGAGCCAATACTGCCCCATCCCTGAAGTTCCCCAGCCTGCAGAAAGAACCCTGAGAAGATGCCAGGAGAGCATAGGGGGGAAGGTTCCTTACCGTTTCCCCACGAGAGCCAGGCCACCCTGGGGAGCCCTGAAAATGGATGTCACAGTCAGAACCATGCTTCCCTCCAACTCAGTGTCCCTTGGATGAAGCCACGAGTTCACCATGTGACCCACAAGAGCAAGGCTCGCTCACCTTTGGGCCAGGGTTTCCAGGAGTCCCAGGGCGGCCAGGGCTGCCTGGAGGCCCATCTGCTCCAGGGAAGCCCTAAGGAGGCAAAGAAGTCAGGGCAAGAAGGAGCCCTCCCCCAACACCCCTGGTTTGCTGAAGAAGGCCCAGACTGTTCTTCATCCAGACCCCTCACTCCACAGGTCACTAGTGTTGTCAGGCGTAAAAAAGTGGGGCAGAGAAGTGGCCACTCAGAACTGAATAGAGCCCAGTCCCAGGCACAAGGACACAAGACAGAAGGCCTGCCCTTCCTCTGTGACTTTGAACTTCCACCTGGACACTCCAGGGGACCGCAAAATCCCACTGGGCCCCCTAAAAATCACTGATGGGGTTAATAATCTCCACTTAGGCTTCTAGGAATACCCAGTAATTCTAACTCTGCCTTCTCTCTTCTAAAAACCTTTCAGAACGCTTTGAGGAGGGCCCTGGGGGAACTTCAATGGTCTCCACACTTACCCTCTCGCCTTTCGCAATGGTGCTTCCAGGAGGGCCTTGGGGACCTGGAGCACCAGTCCTGCCCTGAGAGAAGAGAGCAGGTAATGAGGCAGTAAGCCAGCCAGGGCACAGAAGACAGGTGTGGAAATGCACTTACCGGAAGGCCAGGGGGTCCAGGGGCCCCAGCTTGTCCTGTCAGGCCCTAGGAAGAGTGATCAGTGAGCCCTGGTACTGCTAATCTCCCCCCACCCAACTGACCACCAACACATTCTCTAACCTTTCACCAGGACCACTCACCGTCTCTCCAGGTTCTCCCTTCTGGCCCTGGGGAAAGACAAGTTGATGAGAATCAGAGTTGGCTGACCCAATGTGGCCCTCATCCACTCTCTTAGCCCCAGATGCTTACCTTTGGACAATGAATCGTGCAAGGCCCTGGCTGTGGCTGTGGACACAGGGTCTCATTAAGTCCAAACAGTTCTACCAAGAGGCCCCAGATCCCCTTTTCTTCCCTATCTAGCCCTCCACAGGCTTCTTCCAAACCTGGGTGCCTGAAGCTGCCTGACACAAGGCAGTTGCCAAACCACTGACTGCCCGGTCCAGGCTTGGACCATCATCCACAGCAAAGAAAGTCTGGACAGGGTCCATGCCTGGCACCAAGCGACGCAGTTGCTCTGGATCAGCTCCCGCCAGGCCCAATATCATCATGTTCAGCCCTAAGGAAGAGGTCCAACAGCCTGCATGATAATTCTGCTGGGGCCACTTCTACCCCCAGCCCCCACACCAACCACCCCCACTTCTCACCAGAAGCTTGGGCCTCACGGATGGGGCCAAAGATGTCACTTCTCAAAGGCTCATCCACTAACAGAACCATCACCCCTGGGGCATGCCGGCGGCGCCCAGGAGCATCTGGCGCCAACAGGTGCCTGTGAGCTGTGACCACGGCTATGCCTGGAGGGAAAGACTTGTCAGAACCCTGGGCATCAAGCTCCCAGTGAGGAAACTCCAAGAGCCCATGCCCACTGCAGTCCTCACCCAGGTTGTTCCCACTTGGGTCCATGTAGGGGATGTCACGAATCTTCTGCATGATGATGCCAAGGTCATGGGAGCTGTTCAGTGGGAACAGTGGGGAGGGCCGGTGACTATAGGACAAGAGGCCAACCTGGGGAGGAGGGAGATACAGATCCTGAGGTAAGGATGATAGAGCATGGATGAGAGGACACAGAACCGGGGAGAATGACAGATCAGGAATGGAGGGACACAGGGCCTGAGGGGATGACACAGTAGGGGTGGGGGGACATGGAAGGTGGGAGAATGATAGCACAGAGGTAGGGGACACAGAACCTGGGAAGATCAGGGATGGGGAACACAGATCCTGGGGGAATGAGAGAGCAGTAGTGGGAGTACACTGGGTCTGTGGGGATGATAGAGCAGGGAAGAGAGGATACAGAACCTGAAGGGATGATATAGTAGAGGTGGGGGAACACGAGGGTGGGGTTGGAGATACAGCATGGGAGATTGTATGTGAGTAAACCTGAGCTGTTAGGGGTCAGCAATGACAGTAAGATAGGGAAGCAACCAGCAGATGAGATCCAGGCTCTGGGGGAGAGCTGGGAGAAAGCCTGAACCACTGGTGTGGTGGGGAGTAGTAGCTGGTATGAAGTCTGAAAAGGGAGAGTAGGGTCCAGACTGCCTCAGGGGCCAACCTGGACCGCCTGTGGCCCAAGGGGTCCAAGTGCAGACAGCAGGCGCTCTAGGGCCCTCTTCACAGCTTCTGAACGGTGAGCATTGTCCCGAGTGGCGTGCAGCAGGAACACCACATCTATCAAGCCATGGGGGCACTCTGCAGGAAGGAGGCAGAGTCTCTAAAATGGTCAGCTCATCTAGCCACCCTTTGAGGTCCCTCATACAATGTCCACCATACCTGGGTTGTGTGTGACAGAGGCCTCAGGGCCCCGCACACCCCCTCGGACAGGTGTCAGGGAAAAGATATAAGAGACGCCAGGCTCTAGCCCTGTCACCCGCTGGGAGTTTGAGATCCCCGGCAGTGTCTGTGGGGTCCCAGGCACCACTGCAGAGGATAGAGCTCAGTTAAACAGTAGGCCCTCCATGGGGCCCCAAACCCAGCTCATCCCAACCCTGGGCTCTCCTTCATCCTGACCAGGGCCTCTGAGTGGCCTCCAAGACAAAATGTAGTTGGATGCCCCGGACACTGGGGTCCAGGCCAGAGTCACTGAGTCTATTGAAGTGTCTACCACACGCAGGTCAGTGCTCGGGATGCGAGGTGACTCTGAAGGAGAAATCAGAGATCAAGGATCAGAGACTGTGTCCTGAGTGTTATTTGGAAACATGACATACCTGGGGTGTGTTGTCTTAGTGAAGGAAGTGTCATGGGAAGGCATGTCATGGGTCTGTCTCCCCAACACTAGGAGTGCTGAGGGGGGTGGGGCAAAAGTCACTCAGGGTCATTCAGTCCAGAAAATCAGGCTGGATCATCAGTGGGAGAGGTTACACCAAGGCAGGGGAGGTCACGCCAAAGTAGGGGTGTGTGCCCTGTGTGCTCACCAGTTTGTGCCGTCACCTCTGTGGGGGGCCCTTCTCCAGCTGGCCCCAAGACTCTCAGCCACACATGGTACAGAGTCCCTGGTTCCAGTCCATCCAGGTGGTAGCTGTTGACATCAGGGCCCAGTTCCTGGAACTGCTCCTGGCCACCTGGGGCAGGTATGACAGCAGGGGCAGGGGGTGGAGCCAAGTGAAAGACAGATGCTACCTACCGAACTAATGACCCTGCCCACTTCAGTGACCGATCCTATTCACCCTGCTGATCCTGTCTACCGTCACTGATCCCTCAGACCTCCACTGACCGACTCTGCTCACCCTCATTGACCTGCAACCTCATCAATACAGCCCACCCACCAGGGACGCCTCTCACCCTCTGGTCGCCAGTGCAGACGGAAGCCGTGTGCTCCGGGCACCGGCTCCCAGCGCAGCCTCAGCGAATGCTCCCCTCGTTGCACTACGCGAAGTGTCCTCAGGGATGGGGGAGGCTCCGGTGCTTAACAGAAAATGAGAGAACTCAGAGGCTCCACCCCTACAGGCCCCTCCGCCCATTCCAAACAGATGCTTGCACATGCACCGCCCTCAATTGGCCCCTCTGCCTATCCCAGGCTTCGTCCCTCCTCCTCAGACTCCGCCCCCACAGGCTTACTACCAGTTCCAGGTCCCTTTTCTAATTCCAAACACAAGCCCGGTTCCCAAACCGTGCAGACCACCAATCCAAGGCTCGCCCTCGCCCAAACCCCGCCTACGTGTGGTGACGACAATGGAGACTGGCGCGCCCTCGCGATCCCCGACGAGTGCAGTCACTCGCACCGAGTAGCTGACTCCTCCTTCGAGGCCGCGGATCTCTGCGGAGTCCGTGTTTCCTGGGAGTATCTGGTCTCTCGTGGGGCCACCTGGCCAGGCGAGCATAGGGCAAGAGTCAGGGATAGGGGTGGCTGACTGAAAAAGTTAATTCTTACAACCATTGTGGAAAGCAGTATGGCGATTCCTTCAAAAGCTGGAAATACAAATACCATTTGACCCAGCCATCCCATCACTAGGCATATACCCTAAAGAAGTGAGAGCCATAACAAGAACAGATATATGCACGCCGATGTTCATCGCAGCACTATTTACAATAGCCAAAACTTGGA